CATCAGACACAGTTTACTCACCACATTCTTGAGCGTGCCGGTATGATCACGTGTCGTCCCATCTCCACTCCCGTCGACACGAAGGCTAAATTATCTGGCACATCGGGTTCCTTGGTAGCCGACCCTGCCCTCTATCGCTCCATCGTTGGAGCCCTCCAGTATCTCACATTTACTAGGCCAGACATCTCCTACTCTGTTCAGCAGCTCTGTCTCCACCTTCACGCCCCTCGAGATGTCCACGTCACAGCTATGAAGCGGGTACTACGCTATCTCCGCGGCACCTCCACCTATGGTATGACTCTTTCTCCGTCTAGCACAGATTCTCTTCAGGCCTACTCCGATGCCGATTGGGCAGGGTGCCCCGACACCAGACGATCCACATCAGGCTACTGTGTCTTCCTTGGGGACAACCTCATCTCTTGGTCCTCCAAGCGTCAAGCCACCATTTCCCGGTCCAGTGCTGAAGCTGAATACCGAGCCGTCGCTAATGCCGTTGCCGAGACCAGCTGGATCCGAAATCTCCTATTAGAGGTACAGCAACCCCTACGCCGTGCCACACTCATCTTCTGCGATAACGTTAGCGAAAATCTTAATGTGAAGCACTGAGCTACCACCAAGTATCAAATGCAGTCAATTATGATTACTAGAAACTGTGTGAGTTATAAATATTATACTTATCCTAGAACTGTACTCTATCAAATCAAATATATTGAGAAATTGGACAATGCTAAATTAATTATTTTTTGAAAGACACACTTGGGGATATACTAAGGGAGTTGAAACTAAAGGAACTTGTAGAAAGTACTTCATAAAAGAAAATATGAAGAATTGATTTGTTGGCGTTAGTGACTTGATTTTTGCAAGACACTATCAAGGATTAGAACAAATTAAGAAACCAACTTTTTACAGTCAAGTAGTGATATAGCAGCAGCAAACATCGAATTAACTTACTTGCGGCAAATCGTCTTCTCCTGATTATATTTCTTCGCCAAGGCCATGAGAGATGGTTCAATAATCCCACCGCGAAGTCTCAGAACCAAATGCAAAGTAGATTCTGTTGGGGATTAAACACACAACACACACAAATAATTTGCGAGAAACGAGAGAAACAGAACACAAACGACACACAAGAATTTAACGTGGTTCGGTTTCCCTAATCCACGCCTGCAACGGGAGGATTTTCTTATTTCACTTGTGGTACTGATTACAAGTACAAGAATGCAATATATATAGGAAGAGTGCATCTAGGGTTTCGTAAAATGGGCCGGGCCAAAAGTCAAGCCCAAGCCTCCACAAACCCAACATTCTCCCACTTGGAGGCTTGATAGTCATCAACTGCCATCCACCACGATTCCCTGTACATCGAGTAATCTTCCTCAGCTCTCCTATTGCAGCGGCCCTAACATCAGACAACTGAAAGGCCCGTTGAAGCTCTCCCAAGCTCCAACACATCAGTCACGGCAAAATCTGCCCCTGACTCGTCCTCGGTCCCTACCGGCTCCCACTGCAGACGCACACTGCCGGATCCTGGAACATCTTGAGAACAAACACTCTCCATACTCAGCAAGAAATTTTCTGGAGATGTTCCAACAGCTGGAATACTGGTTCTCCTGACCCACTGTCTTCTAGGCAACTTGGCTGAAGCGCCTCTTGAGCTCCCACTGCCACAAATACCTCTAACTGGCCTCCTTGAACCTTTCCACGCTCGTTCATCCTGAGTCTGACCAGTGGCTCTAGGTTTCTCTCTTGCACAGACAACCTTATTCTGCCCACGAGACTCTGTGAACCGGACTTCGTTTTTCTTCTGAACTGGGACGGTCACTCCCTCAGATGGTAACTCGACCATATACAACGAACCTCTCTTCCTTCCACGGGCCATGACAAGATTTC